AAAAATCTATAAATACCGTGTGACAAGTACTGTTTTCTATGTAGTAACTCAATTCCCCTTCCATATAGCTTTTCATGTTGGCTGTTATTTTGATCATTGCCATTTTACAAAAAGAAAACCAAAGACAGAGTGGTTAAGCTTAGTTAATGTAAGTAACTCTTCCCACACCTGGTTGCTGTGACGTGGTACAACTGGGATGGGATCTGAATCCAAGTAGTCTTCAAATATATATTTGTAATCACTGTGTTGCCCCACCCCCATGTGGTCCCCTCCCAAGACAGCATTGTTGATAGACCTTTGACAACAGAGTCCTGCGGTCTAAGCAATCTTACAGTTGGTTCTCTTTTGGGTGAGGCATATATGGCTTCCTGAGGGCAACCCACTGAAAGGTGTTTAGATAAGTTATATGCGAGTCTCACTTTTAATGGAGTGGTAGATAGCATCTGAAGTGGAGAGCAAATGTTTTGAGAATGATGAGGGCAATGAATGTGCAAATGTGCTTTACACAATTGATGTATGTATGGGTGGTGATAGAGTTGTATGAGCCCCTAATAAAACGATTTAAAAAAAACAATCACTAAAAAAAAAAGAAAAGAAAGAAATCTCCTTGGCCAGTGACAGCAACAACAAATGCAGTGCAGTAAAACAATTTGCCATGGCATACTGTATCCAAGAAAATTGTAAGCTGAAAATTAGCAGTGCGGAATTTTTGACATAATAAAGCATTTATATTGTAACAAGCTTACACAAAAATCACAAAAGTTAGAAAACCCTGATGTAAACCCCCAGCCTCATAAGTATTCCTCAGTGAGTGTGGGCATACACAGCTTTGTGCATCCCACACACTGACACACCAAATTTGTGGTAGCTTGGGTAATTAGGAAATTGGAGAGTAACTCCTTTCTAAGTTTTCATTTTCCAATAGTCATACCAGCAACATGTTTCATTTTGGCACACACTTGGGCTGGGTCCATATCTTACTGTAGCATTGACTCATTTAAACCAGTGGTTCTCAACCTTTCTCTAATGCTGCAACCCTTTAATACAGTTCCTCATGTGGTGGTGACCCCCCCCAACCAAAAACTTATTTTCATTGCTATTTCATAAGTGTCATTTTGCTACTGTTATGAATCAGGCGACCCCTGTGAAAGGGTCATTTGACCCCCACAGGGGGGGTTAAATTTTAAACAATTTGTTACTGAACTACCATTTCCAGGCAAGTGTCAAACTGAAGCACTGATACTATCATAAAATGCGCAAGGGGGTCACACGAGACTGGCCAAGGCGAGACCGTGAATAAAAGTTAGGGAGTCAGAGATGGACATGGATCACAATGGCAAACTTCTAAGAACTAAGGATCAGGACCAACTTAAGCTCATAAGCTGGTTAAGGCTAAAAAGTATGAACACATAGGCGCTGAATAAAGATGACCACTGTCCTACAGAAACCAGCTGAACATGACTTTATTTCCAAACCAATGATATTATCTATGCCACACCTCTGAGATAGGGAGAAAACCATCCATGTTCATGCCCCAGAGATTGTTTGCTTTAATCTCATTCCATTTGGAATTGACACATTCACCTAATTTCAACCCAAATGTGACATGTTTCTTATTGGTAAACTCTCTTGTAGACGCTCAAGAAATGACTGTTTTTACTTGTTTTTTCTAAACAGGTGGTTATTCAAGGTCAAATTGTTTCTACTCATGAGCAGGATGAAGGCATATCAATTGACGATGTATCTTTCAGCCCCGGCTGTCTGCCTGCAAGTGGTAAGAGCTTTTCCTTTCATGTTGAGCCGTCCTGTCCATAATAAACCTGATCTCATCGAAGAGTGTCGTGTCAGTTGTTATCTGCTCTTGATTTTTCTCTCATGTTCTGCTATGTTTTCTCACCCATTGTTCTAATCTATTGTATAATGGTGACTGCTTCTCTACTAGATGTGAAGCTAAGCTATTTTTCATGAGCTCTAATAACTGTTCCATAGAATAATTTAATCTCAAGAACTGAAATGCTTCAGTAGGATTTACCCTGGCTGGTTACATTTTACCCAAAGGATTCTGGCCCTTTTAGGAAGCTGAGATAAAACTGGGCTTCAGAGACTTGAACATGTCTTCTCAGAGAATCACTCAGTCTCATAACTTCATGGAGTGACAAAATATGGAGAGAGAGATACTGGTTACTATGTGTTGAGACTGAAACAGCTAGACAGATAAACTACCTATACTAGACTTTAAAACATCTATGCTGACTCCTTGATTATATTAATTGAATAATATTTAACACCCCATTCACATTATGAATAAAAAATTTTAAATGGTAAAATTATAATTTGGTTACTATAAAATATCTGGTTAAGTCTAAAAAAAAAAAAGCAAGAATCAGGCATCTGAATTTTTTTTCTCTTAAATTTTCATTATATTATGGAATAATATAACAAAGTTAAAACAGCTTTTTTTAGAGAGAGTTTCCAAGTTGTAATCTGACACAAAGTTATGGTAATTGTGGTTTGAATTAATACTCTAAATACTATCTGAAGACCAGAAGTGATCGGCTGGTCTACCTGAGAGCAGTAGAAAAACTTAATTTGATACAGGATGTCCATACTGTGCCTGGGTCTTCTGCAGCATTCTTATCCTGTACACCAGCGGTTCTCAACCTGTGGGTCACAACCCCCTTGGGGGTCAACTGACCCTTTCACAGGGGTCACCCAATTCATAACAGTAGCAAAATTACAGTTATGAAGTAGTAGTGAAAATAATTTTATGGTTGGGGGTTCACCACAACCTGAGGAACTGTATGAAGGGTCGGGGCCTGAGGAAGGTGGGGAACCACTGGTGTGGACTCATAGCTGACATGGGCATGTATGTCTTGTCACTCAGACCAAGGTTGGATTTGATGGAAGTTCATGACCACCCTTTCCAACCTTGAAACATATAAAGGTCTCTTCCATCTTTTTATTTTAGTTTTCTGTGTATATTAGGTAAAAAACATTATATTAGAAATTGAATGAGCATAAAGAATGCAAGACCTTTAAGGAAACAGGTTGTAACACCTCAGAACCTTTCATTTCTAGACCTGAGTAATTGTATTCTCTAAAAACATATTCAGATCATCATTATGAATGAAAAGGCAAATGACCTCAGTCAAAGACTAATTAAATGACACAACTGGTCTTTCTGGTCTGAAAAGTGCTCCCCGACTCGGGCCTTTTCTCACTGAGACTGGGGTTCCCTGTGTGCAGTCGAGCGTGCCATCAACAGTGCTGGACACTCGGTAGTGCTGACAGCATGCAGAGGCCTCCCCCTTTGTGCAGGTTGTGTAGTCAGGGTGGCCCGTCAAGCCCCACTGGCAGTGGTGGGCTGAGTGAGAAGAGCATATGGATGGTTTATTCCTTCTTTTCACTGTACTAACGCGGCTTGTTGAAGGAGCACAATCTCTTCCTGAGGAAATCCTGCACACTGCTTGGAAGAAAGCATAGAAAGGAAGCAGAAATGTCCTTTTGTTCCCACAGAAAATCACAGGAAAAATATTTAATGAAGTTAAACATAGTGGAGGAGCCCACTGTGACCCAGTTGATTCGGACTCATAATAAGCCAATGGATCTCCGGAGCTGTGAATTTTCATAGAAACAGACTGCCTCTTCTTTCTTCCATAGAACCCCAGGTAGATTCTTACTGCCAAATTTTTAGATATCCACCAGTATTTATCCCACTGCACTAGTCCAGGGAGACTAGATAAACAAATTCATTGACACTCATATGTGTACAAGAAAGAGTTTTATCTACAAGAGCAATTGAATACTGAGAAAACATACCAGCCCAGTCCAGATCAAGTCCACAAGTCTGATATTAGCCCATATGTCCAAGACCAATCTATAAAGTCCTCTTCAGGTTCACAAAACACATGCAATGATGCTGAATGCAAGAAGATCTCTGGCCAGTGGGTGGGAAGTCGTGTAGATCCAGTGGTGGTGGAGGCATCTCAGCACTGATAGGGATCTCCACTTGGCTTCTTCAGCTCCAGGGCTCTAAAGTAGCACCATGTGTCTTGTCAGCAAGCAAGTATCATTGGGAGTCAGACTGTGTCCCACCTCCAGCGAGCTATTGATCTCCTTAGAGCCTCCAAATGAGGTCTTCAAGCTGCAACCTGATTGACAGGCTAACCTCCATCCCTTCAGTCTTAAGTCTCAAATTGATCGCATATTGTGTAACTGCCACACCCTCTTAATCATTCCATTTCTAATTGTTAAACACTAATTCTGCCTACGAGGGGCCCTCGGGGCATAGTAGTTGGTGGGCTGCTAACTACAAGGTCAGCAGTTTGAAACCACCAGTCTCTGCAAAAGGGAAGCATTGTCAATGAGGTTTTTGACTTCCACAAAGTTACAGTCTCTGAAACCCACAGAGACAGTTCTACCATGTCCCAGGGAGTTATTTTTAAAGCTGTCTCTATAGTTCTAAACATATCTGCACATACGTAGACGTAAAAGGATGAACATTTTGAAAATTGTTTTAAAATAATTTATTTTGTTGACTGAGAATATACACAGGAAAGCATTCATTAAGTCCACAGTGGCCACCTGCACGATTCAGTGACCTTGTTTCCATTCAGGCTGGGCAGCCACTCACAGCCCTTCCTGTGCTGTTCCCCACACATCAACACAAGCTTCTGAAAACATAAAACTTCTTAAGTTTGCTCTCTAAACTTTTGAGTTACTGTCATCAATTGGATCTCATATAAACAGATCTCAAGAGAGCACAAAACGTATCTTTACTAGATAAGCTAAATTATGATTTGGTTTTAGGACTAGAGGGAATTAAAAAAGAGTGTTATTGGCATACACATCACATATTGTGCAATTTGATGTTTCAATCATTGTGCAATCATCACTACAATCAAATTCAGAGCTTTTCCTTCTCATGCCCGTTGTTATTAACTTTCTGTTTTCTCCCATCCTTCCTTGCCCTGCCCCCACACAATTATCAATCCAGTTAATGTCGCTATAGATCTACATACCCTGGATTTTATGTACAGGAAATCATACAAAACAAACAGGAAGCAAACATAAAATAAGTAGACACACTATAGAAAAACTTCAATCAAAAAGAAAGAAAATATTAAAAACTGAAACAACTTTAAAGTTAGTCAAAAGGGAGCTTAAATGATAAGGCCCTACATTTTAACCTCTCTGCATATGCCGTAACCAAATTTACAAGGATGCCTCTGACCGTCGGGGATTCACCGGAGGCTGATCCATGGGAGGACCTTGCAAATGGATTTTAGACTTCTACTGTCTTCCAAAGCCTTCTGCAACCCAGGTACTCACTATTTAAACTCTCCTACAATTCCCTCCCTCAGATTTGGGTTTTATCATTTACAAACCTTGGTTCCCAGAGGCTGGTGTGCTTCTTCTATGAGGCCTTAATGGACACCTCACTTAAGTGGCTGCTTGTTTGAAGACAAGCCTTTAAGGGCCCAGAGCCCATTCTTTCTGATACCTGAGCACCCTCTGGGTTCTTCACCACACCACCCATGTCTTCAATGATCTCCTCTTGAGGGTGTGCATTGCACAGGGCCATCGATGGACAATTCTTTTAAACATTTTTTCTTATGAGCCTTTGCACCCACAACTCTTTCTGGCTTACTGAATATTGTTGTACCATTAACAGTCTTGAGCAACATTGTTGATAATGTAGAAATGTCTCTAAATTATAGATCTAAACTAAAGCCATGGCATTGGAGAGGGGCATGGAAGGAGTTTTGGAGTATGCAATTTCTGCAAGAAACAAAAGATAAATGTTTTCTTTTAATATTTTATGCTTTAAAAATATCTAATGAAACGCTATGCATCTTTCTGTTCCCCAATAATCTTCCTACTTTGTTTTGTCTTTACTCTCAGGAAACTCTCTTTGGTGTTGAGTGTATCTGTTCCTTTTATTTACAACTTTTTTCTCTACTGACACTTTTAATTCAGCATACTAGCAATTTCAAGTTTGTACAGATCCAGAAAAAGATATTAGAACTTTCTCTTTCTCATTTTAGCTATCAGCTGGCTACCCAAGGTCACCTTCACCATACAGACCACATAATTAATTTTAAAGTTTCTTGTTGCTATATTAACAAATTAAAAAGTAATAGGGTAAATGAACTTTAAAATTATAATTTACATAAGCTAATGTTCAATTATTATCTTTTCAATATATAATTTATTTAGATATGCTATTGAAAAGATAGTTTGCACTCTTTGGTACCCAGCTTGTGATGTGCACAGTTTATTTTACACTTCCAGCACATCTTCACTCATATTAATCATATTTAAAATGCGCAGTAGTCACATATATTTCGTGGCTAGCATGCTGAACTTTACCGTTCTACCCCCCTGTTCCTGTTGAGTCACCCTCTCCTGCTTTACTTGGCCAGAGGAAAACTTGGTAGCGATTCTCTTCTGTAGCTTCTGACATGCTTTATTTTTTTATTTATGTTTATTTTAAAATCGTGGTTTTGTACCCGTCCTCTCTTTCCTCAGTTTCTATTCACTCACCTCTCGCTTAGATACTAGTACTATTTGGATTTCAGAACATGAGCCTCATGCCCACTCATTTTGGATCTCTGAGGTGGTTCATCCACCCCTTCATCTAGCTTTGCCTTTACTTCACTTAGCAAAAGCTCCTTAAAGCACTGTGAGGCGCCACGCACAGCATGAGCATTGCCCCAATACTGTGATAAAGAACACGAGAGATCGTGTCTACACAAAACATTAGGTGCTGTG